GCAATGTATAACACTACATTTTAGCATCTGAGGTAATGGAACAATACTAAATTTGAACATTTGAATTTTATTTCGATTAAACGCCATTTATTAGAGGCATGATTATAGACATCATAAAGTGTTTAATTAATAAATAAAGTAATTTTGACCCTGCTCCGTGACCCCATTTTGGCTGTCTTAAATCTTTGATAATTTTGACTAATATCGAGATATATTTCAATTTTTTTACTTAGATTATTTGAAACTATTGTTTAATAAGTGTACCAAAATTGGTTTTAAATAAAAATGTTATGACAAAAGTCTCGTAGAAATTTTTGAATAAATTCTGCTTCATATGCATATAAAAACAGGTCGCACAATTATTGCCCATCGGTATTCCAGCAGTTTGTTGGAAGACTTGGTCTTCAAAGACTGCATAAATGGTGTCAATGAGGAACTCCAGCATCCCTTTAATATCAACTTCAGAGTACTTGTGTGATTTTTAACAAATAATTTTGAAGATGACTAAACACAAGATGTGAAAATTTCCGAGTTCTTTTTTTATTGAAAAAAGCAGTTGTCTATGATATCAAAAAGCACAGTTTTTAATTTATCGTGAGGAATGGTTTTATAAAGTGAAGAAGAGGCGTACTTTTTGATGTTACTTACTTTTAAAAAAAATATGATTTTAAATTTTCTAAAAGGTATTTAGAGTTTTTGAGGATCCACATCTGATTTACACCATTTCTAGAATACTGTGGAATCAACATTGTTCGTGGGGGATCAATGTTCGTGGATTTCGTGGGTCACCCGTACCCACGAATTTACCTTCCCACGAACAATTTTTTTTTGGTGAACGCACTGATTAATTAAATCTACCAAATAAACGAGCTGCCCACGAAATTACATCCCCACGAACCAATAAAATTTTGCTTGCCCACGAACATTGACCCCCACGAATTTAAATGATTCCACAGTATGCTGTTAACAGTACGTCCGAAGTATCTCCTTTACAGCAGTTAATATTTTTTTTAATGAATCCGCCCTGTTTTCGCTATTTTTTTTTTTATTATCTTCCCTTGGAATGATACATGTACATAGTAATGCTTTGCAGCAAGTTTGAGTGAAATTGCCTGTGTTCTAGAGAATAAGTCAAATGGTGAAAAGTTTACTTACTATAAAAAGACAGATGACATTCGGTCGTCTGTATCTTTTGCTCAGAGGAGGTATGGTCAACTACAAAAGTAATATATGTAGTGAAGAAGAACACTGAATTAAATGTTGTATATGTTAAGTGCTTTTTGGTTCCTGCCACCATAAGTACAGTATGTCAGTACCAAGAAAAGTTCTGTTGAAGTTACTTTTTAGCTTGTGGGGTGTTCTTCTTTATCTTGACAGCTTCTACTGATCCGGTTTATCGAGTTGAACCAGTTATATGGTAGAATTGTTAAGTACAGAAATCTAAACTACTGCATCATGATGTGATCATATACGTGTGATGTAAGTACAAACGTCTTTCTAATCAACTTTAAGGAAACTATATAAAATCTAAATATTTTTGGTCCTGTAAATGTGAAAAAATAAGAAACTTCAGATCTTCTCTCCAATTCGGCAAAGATAATGAACTACCAAAAGGCAAACGAATATAAAAAAAATGTTCTAAATGACGCAAGTCGTCGTCAGTTAAAGTCAGACGTTCGTCTTCATTGACCTTAAACATTCAAGTGCATTTAGATATCTGTAAAAATAAGCCATTTGTGACTACTTCAAGTTTAACCCTAAGTGATATAATTAAAAGAAATAATGCTAGACATCTTTCGTAACAATTCATGGAATCCCACGTCGATATCTACAAAATAAGCCATACGTGACTACATCCTGTTGGAATGGAATTGACGTCCTTGGAGGAATTTTACTCGATGCATTTTGTAATTTTAAACAACTTTTTAAATTTTATTTTTAATTTTTCGAGGTTTTACGAAAATAGTGACCCATTTATAGATCCGCCAGTACCATTTCGTTCATATCAAATGAAGAGTATTGCCATTCTGCACAACTTTTTTTATTCAAAATGTTACATACAAACTATGTACAGCTAAAGAAGTATTGTAGAAAAGGTGTTCAAAATTTCTGAATTTATTTATTAACTTGCCTGTTTTTTGACTATTTGTGACACTTCCGCCAAAAATTGAAATACGTTACGCACAACTACGCTTTACCCCACCTTGAGCTTAGACTCCAGAGACTTATATTTCTATTTACAGCCGTTTTCTGCAAATCGATTGAAATATCCATTGATAGAACCTGATATCAGTTAGATTCTAACTTGTTTTGTTTCAATTTATTTGCCTTTTTCCAACTCAACTCACTTATTTTTGTGGAACATCTAGGACATACACCTGAATTTCGTTTTTAAGGCCCTGTTATGTAAAAATAAGATATTTCTTTGTTTATATTTTGTTTAAAATATTTATTTTAGCAAAGAAAAAGATCCGTGTTATCTGTGTAACTTAAAAGAAAATGCTATGCATATATTTTGATGACACGAAGGAATTATGGAACGATATAACTTGCACTCATTTGTTCCGTAATAATTTCTCTTTTGATCTTTGTTTACCTGTAATGGAAAAGAAATCATTTTTCACTTTCTCGGCCTCTTGTCCAAATTAAATCTGTATGAGTTGCTTTGAAACCGACCCAGTGCGCGGCACAAATCCTTAATGGCTCTCTCCACAACGGAAGGGACCAGTCAGGAAAATTTGTTGGCCACAAAGGAATAAAAATCCCATGTGTTTAGAAATATGAGCTTGTATTAACTTGTAAAAGGGGGATAAGGTCACATCTTCCTACCAATTCTCTGTAGAAATGTTCTCATCGAAAACCTCAGTCTCTGGTATTATCTCCAGTGCATTTTCAAGGTTGTCGAGGCCGTTGAAGGTAATCTCTGCCTATGTTCACGTCTACGACGCTGCCCTGTTTTGCTCAGCGCTATATTTGAGTTTTAAGATGTGACTTAAGTATGCTACAAATGTTACCTTAGTTTTATTCCCCTCACGCTGAGTAAAAGAATTGACTCATTTTATTGCGAAAAGTAAAATATATTTAGATTTTTTTATGATTTAAGAATATTCTTTTAAAAAAAAATAGTTAAAACTCAGACTTAAGTCTGAGATTTAACTTAATTTTTTTTTTCAAAAAATCAAAGCTTGTTCACTAGATAAGGTAACGGTACTTATAACAAATAACAAAGACTTCACTTTAAAGTGAATGACAAAACACCGAAAGATTATCAGAAAACAACTTGTTCTTTTTCCTTTGACCTGCTGCCATCAAAATGTATGATCGAGTTCTTTCTCTTTCTCTTCAGAATGACTAAGACAATTTATACGACTCCTCTATCTGTATGATTTTTTTTTATCTAGAAACGGGGATTGTGAAAGAAACAACTTTAACTGCGTTTCTTCCCTTAGTTTCCCATTGATAGGGAAGGGCTGAGCTTCTCAATATTTTTCAGATTTACTACACCCAGCACTTAAACAAAATCCCCTAGTATTACTTGCCACTGATGCTAAAAATAACTTTGTTCAGCTCTCACTTTTCTTTTATGGCCGACTTAACCGACAATTTCTTCAGTTTACTTCTAAATGCCTGACTCCCCCATAAATTTCGCCTTATATACCTAATGATTATTCTGTACCAAAGGGTTGTTAGGTCATTCCATTATCTGAGGTGTCCATTACGTTTAATAAGCATACACTTTCGCCGCAACAGAAGTCTATGTTTTAGGTTGATAGAAATTCACCTTTCCAAATCAGTGAGGTTATATTATTTTCTTTTATATTTCTTTTTATTATTTTTGAAGTGCATTTTAATACCATTTTTGAAACTCATATAAACTGAACGTTCTACCTTGTTCGTGTAGTCAAATGATTCATGGTTTTAGTATACATGTGGGACAATGTAACAGTATATGACATGGTTTAAAAGTGGAAAAAGTATTAGGTCTAAATAAAAAAAAAATAAATTTAAAGAAAACAAAAAAAACTGAGGTCTGCGCCTCCATACTCTTCTTAAAATATTCTCTAAGAAATCCAAAAAATGTGAAGTAATAAGAATAGGAATATAAACAAGTAAACAATGTGTGAACAATGATTAACATTTGATTAACATACAAATATTGATTAGCATTAACATTGAAACAGTTGATTTTTTACTATTTGCTTTATTGAAGATTTTTTTATTCTATTATTCTATTTTATTTCTATTCTGTTGTGTGTTTCAGGAAATCAAAGACCTGACCATTGTTGGATTAATCTGCGCCATTGCCAAAAGAAAATGATTCTTCAAAGAGAATCAAGCCGTTCAAGTCACACATCTTTAATAAATAATATAATATTTTAAAAAATCTACACTTATTCTAGCTTCTAGCTTAGCAAGAAGTTACGGTATACCAATATTCATTCACTTTTAAGATTTGCTTGTTGTGTCGTCAGTTCAGTTTTAAATGATACTGTACGCAGTTGAAATGTTTACCTTCATACCTACGGTGATATTCTATATTTATTTTATAGAGCACACGCATTATTTACAATAGGCATAATGGCCGAAAAATGTCGACCTCAGTTCTCAGGAAACAAGATATGTTTTATTGCTAAATAATTGACACTGGGTTAAATTTTTGGATCAAAAACAATAGTTTGAATAGATAATTAAAAAAACACTGAAAACATGAGCATTCCAATATGCACAGGAATACCCTGTATGAAAGAAAAGAAAAGTTGTTATTAGCTCACGACTAAATAATCAATAGTTATACGCAGAGTTGTTCTGTTTATGATCACCTACCGTTTAATACCTTTACTTTTAATTGTTTTTCTCTCTTACTGCAAGACATATATTTAGATCAACAGATAACAACTCCATACAAATATGAACGTTTCATCGCGCAGAAAGGTGTTTGGGGATATTTGTCAATGCTAAATTGACTAATTTCAAAATTGCGGTGTCGTTTCCTTAAAAAAATGGAGGAGACACCAGAATGCCAAATAGCCATCGTCTGTGAATACTGTGAGGAAAACAATGTAGATTTTTCTTGTTCTTGCGGCAAACGAATCTGTGAAAAATGCCTTGGAAAGCACAAGAAAGAACATCCCACCCATTTTGCTTTTGTTTACACCGGGACATCAATAATAGTATGCGAGAAACATATAGGAGAAATCTGCAAATTATTCTGCAAAATTTGCTGTGAGCCAGTTTGTAGTGTTTGCTCACAGACCAAACATAATGGACATTCCTTCTCATCCATAGACGATCACCTTTCGTCTCAAGGAACCTTACTGAACGTTGAGCTTAAGAAACTTGATATGGAATTCAAAAGTACTTACATGAAACTTGCGAGTAACAATGAACAGAGATTTTCTGAAGTTCCTGCAAAATATTCAGCGATTCGAGAAGCTGTTGAACAAGCAGGGAAAACTTTGCACACGAAAGTTCAAGAGACGGTGAAAAAACTAAAAATGCAGATTGAGGCTATGGAAATGGAACACCTTGACTGCATAAGGGATAACAAAATGAAGATAGATAAAGTCTTAGAAGATATCGAAGAAACTAAATCTGATATTTTCAAGAAAATGACAGACAATAAAAAGCTAGCTATGTATCACGTCAAGACATATCCCTTTGAAAACTGCCCTGATTTGATGGATCGAACACTTCCCGTTTTCAAGCAATCTGAATCTGAATTCAACTGTTTCGAGTTCTTGGGAACATTGACTACATCGAAAAGGGCCACAATATCTAGACCTCAAGACGAAACATTTGACAGAAAAGATGATCATAAGATGAATAAATCTGTTGAATTGCTGGAAAGTGCAAGGCAAGTACAAAAGATTGCTACAGTTTATGGCTATATATTTGACATATCCTATACAATTAAGGAACATATCCTAGTGTGTGGTACTTACAGAATAAAAAAGAGTTTCACAATTCGCGCCTTAGATTTTGGTGGAAAAGAAATAATGTCAATACCCGTTCAAAATCAACCAAATTATATTTCAGAAGCTAAAGATGAAACAATATTTTACACCTCGGAAAGCAAACGCGGTGTACACAGGATTAAGAATGGAACTATTGAGACAATTGCTTTAGACAATTCTTGGAAACCAAGAGGTGTAGCCTGCAGGAGTTCTGGTGATGTTATCGTAGCTGAACATAACGAAATGAAAAGGCTAGGACGTTTGAGTATCTATACATCAGATGGTGAAAAAAAGCAAGTCCTTGGTATCGGTTGTTCAGAACATGATCTCGTTAATCCCTCATATGTTTGTGAAAACGCCAACTCGGATATCTGCACCTCTGATTCAGGAAAACAAATGGTTGTTGTGTTCCTTTCAGCCGGAGATTTGAAATTTATGTATAAGGGGAAGTCAGACGAAAAAGAGTTTACGTCCTTTACACCTCGAGGTTTAGCTACGGATTGCATGGCCAACATCCTTATTGCTGACTATCTTAGTCACACAATACACGTAATTGATTCTGAAGGATGCATATTAAGGAAAATTGTAGAAGATATTAATTTTCCTACAGCTTTGTCAGTTGATGAAAGAAAAAGACTCTTAGTTGGGCAATATCTCGACGCCAGTATTCAAGTTGTAGAGTATTTAAATACATTATAATAATAAAGATTTAATATTTAAAAACTGGAGGAAAATAATAATAAAAAAAGACAATGTATAAACGATAAAAAAAAATTATTTTATTGATTAAAATACAACGCTCTCTAAAGTATACATGCATTATCGATTGTAATCAATTTAAAGATTGCAAACTGTAATTTATTCTTAAAGTCGACAAGTGAAATGTTTCCCCAATACTTTGCAATTATTTTGAATGACATTTGTAAATATAAAATATTGATTTATTTAAGCGCCCTCAACATGTAAAACGAAGATAATCCGCAGCAAGAAAATATTTTGAAATTCTGGAACGCTAAATCAAAATATAAGTAGTTCGACACTGATTATTGTTAAAGGATGAAATGCGACATCTGTCGTACCCTCCATTCCGGAGAAAGCTCAGTAGATAAAGAACATTTCTCATATGTTTGCTCTTTAAGCCAAGTCAGATTCTATATGAAAATAACTTAATTAGGGGTAATTTTCATCTCCTAAACAAAGGATATGGAAATTTTAAGTCATGGGTAATAAGGATTAAAATTTTCGAAATAAAACACAGGTCCTACATCATTGAGGCAAACTATCAAACTCCCAAAGCATTTTTGTTACATTTGAACTTTCGTTTCAAATTATAGGCATCTTGTATTTATGATAATTTCTCATTATATAATATATGAAAGAAGATCAAGTTTTGAGAGATTTTGGAAAAAATTACTTTCCTATTGCTTTGTCAATTAATGACAGAAAAAGACTCCTAGTGGGACAACATCTGTTACTTTTAGCATCGTGAACAACGTTGGTAAAAGATTATTTAACCATAAAATTTAAGTACCAATGCTTTAAAATTCTAACAATTGTTTAAAATACAATAGCACTATAATGGTCATAATCAAAGGATGAGATGCAACATTTGTCGTTTCCTCAATTTGGGAGAAGGCTGAAAAGGTAATAGACCTGACTCATGTGCTATCATTAGTCTCAGTCAGGTTGGGACCTCATATGATTGATTACTTATGAATATGGCTTCGATCCTATCCTGAACAAAAGGATTTGGAAACATAAAGTCATGGATAGAAACGTTCAATAAAAAAAAATCAAGTCCTCCATCTTTGCAGCACGATAACAAAATCTGACCTCTTTGGATTAAGACCGTTAAAAATTTTATCTTTGGTACCTCACTCTGAATTAATGACGCATTGTTATGAGAACTTCCCCGGCATATAAAGTATCAACCAATATTGAGTCGATGATAGAAACGTAGGAAATTCATGGAAGAAAACTAGTTATTAAAACTTTTGAACTCCTTAATAAAGTAAAAGATTCTTCTAAACCAATTAAGATCTTTTGTACATCATCTCTATATTTCTAGATGTACACGCAGCAATGTTTATAGATTCGATTTTTTTATCATCGAGATCGAGCTTTGATCGGGGAATCATGTTTGAAATTAACAGTATTTATCTTGAAATTTGTGAAAAATTGAGTAATAGCAAATTCAAGTTTGAGTCTTCAAAATTCTAGCTGCTCTCAAAATCAAATCTGAACACGCACTTTCCCAAATACACCCCACAGATTTTGCAAATCTGCATGCCTAATAGCTTTTTTTTAAAAATTAAATTCAAGGTTTTAGACCATTGTTTTTCTATGCGTAAACAATAGATTTCAGATCTAAAGATTAAAACCCTCTGTATTTTAAACAATTTAGATGTTTTGAAGAAATAGTGAGACAGCAAATGTATTGTTCAATATTAGAAATGCCCTTCAAGGTATGTCAAACTGTGATAAAATTTGTATTATTAGTAATTTTTTAACATGAATGAAAGGCAATTTTTTTCTTTTCATCAAACATTTTGATTTTTTGATTGTGAAATATACATGTATATATATGCTAAAGAGCATAGGAATTTTGTATTGCTTTTCTCATTTTGTGGTCATAGAATCTTCAACAATTGATGAAACTCATTAATGCACGGCATTGTAGATAAGAGCAATATAGGAAGTATATTGCCTGTCCGTCTGCCAGTCTGTCTGTCAACAAGTTTGTAATGAAGCAATAACATAACTGTTTTTATTTTTTTTTTTTTTTAATCCAAAGAAACACCCTGCAGCCAGCATTCTGGCTGCTTTAGCATGGTCTTCTAGGGTCAAATTCCTCATACGGTATAATATTTTCTGAGTTTTAATTAGTAAAAACATAAGGAACACAAACACAAAGAAATGTATTCCTCTAAAAAGTATGAGCACTATTTTCATTTTTTCTGTGAAATGGTTACGCTTAGTCAACATTGTAGTTATTTATCAGTTAAGACATTTAAATGCCTCATTTTTTTTTACTTTCGTAACATGATTATACAATGTATATCAAATACATCATAAAGTAGTTTTGAAAAAGAAAATATTTGATTTTTTTTGGTGGTGTGTTAGCAGTTTTGTCTATTGTATACACTGTACTTTCCCCCTTCTTTGTTTCTGTGGTCAAATGATCCCTTGTCTTAACATACAGATAGGGCAATGTGACAGGAGACGTCGTTGGAAAGAGATATAAATAAATCTTAATTGAACAAATACATCTGTATCACGCTTCCTAAAGTATTCTTTAAGAGATACAAAGTTAACAAGCAGTAAGAATATGGATAAGAAAACTACTTGAAGTTACAAGGAAATATATGTCTTAAGGGGGCCGAACCTTCTGGGGTTTCCATTGCGTAATACTTCGCGCAGTAATTTAGCGTATTGTCGCTTTTTTTTTTTTTTTTTTTTTAATTTTCACGTAATTTATCAAATTTTACAAATTTAAGAAGTGAGAGTTAAAAAAATATATATTTGCATTTTTAAAAACTGATTTTGTCAACGATTTTCAACTGATAGGTAGAGGTGTGATTGTGACATTATGAAAAACTGAAATTCCTTAAGAGTGAGTCTCAAAATGTTACATTTACAATTGCAGTGTTTTTTTACTAAAGTCTGTCTCACGACCGGAACGTCAACACTTTTTGCATGATATCTCAAAATTGTATCATTGCTGCGGTGTTTTTCATTTGATGTCCACTGTGTTTTTATTTTTGATACACCATGACTAACTGTGCTCTAACAACCATGCTCTATCAAGATAGAACACACCAGAGTAATGATGCAACAATTCTAATGACCCTTGACCTTACATTGAAAAAGAAAAAGAATATAAACAAAGTAGCTGACTTTATGAGCAAAATACAAGCACATATAAACATAGTGAAGGTATACCTTTCCTTAGGTCTACATAAAAAATTCTAAATTTTGCACGTCAAGTTTTTTTTTAAATCCAGAACGAAATTCACACAAGCACATTTTTATAAATGAATGTTTTCGTCTCTCATAAACTTGAAGCGTAACAAACTACGTACAATGTAGTACAGGGAGCGATCGAGGTGGATATTCCTTGTTTTCTAATTCCAACACAAATCGCTGCATCCGGTAATTTAGAGAATCGCTGTTCATCTCGGTCAAAAGTTGACATTTTCCCGTGCCGCACGCCACTCCTTAGCTTGAACGTTACGAGGATATTTTCTGAGAGTCTATCAAACGCTGAATTCATAATCGGACACTTGTACAAACCTTTCATTTTTCGTCTTCGTGTCGACCTCAGGACTGGTGAAATTAGCGCACTCAACTCAGTCTCCATCGTGTCTCCTATATCGAAATCCATAAAAGGTTCAATTTTTAGTTCCGGTAGATCAAACGTCATACTTCCCAAAGAATCTTCAACCTGCATCTGGTTTCCTAACTGATCTAAGGAATTTTCCTTCATAATTTCGGTTTCCGTATCTATAAGAATTACGAAAGCATAAAATCACAACCTTCGTCCATTGCGTTCAGAATATGAATGGACAAGGTAGAAAGTTCAAGAAATACAGCGCGCTTTACTTTTCGAATCACGTGCTCTTTTTTCATTGGTTTAAAATGGTATGATGAAATTTTGATAGATCATGGCTAATGAGAATATGTAGTTGAATTAAGTGCTATTAACGTGAATTTGATAGATCATGGGTAGCTCAATACCTGAGAACAATGATACAAAACATATAATTAGAGTACCTTTTAACTCGTGCTTCTTCAGATATCAGACTCGGGGGACAAGCCCCCTCGTCTGATATCTGAAGATACACTCGTTAAAAGGTACTCTATATATTACAAAATAAATACCTTGACCTTAAATCTAGGTTCGATCGTTAGATTGATTTTTTTCCAAAGTTCCTGCATTTATACGAACCCTCGAGGTCAACTAGTGTATAGACACGGCGGCAAATTCAAAGTCTACGGGGATTTAACATTGCCAAAATGGCCGTCACTTTGGAAGGGGATCCATCATTATTCGTGATTTTCCGTACATTGCTATTAGTGAGGTAGCGACGTCACATACGTTCGGGAATGTTCTGTGCTCATCGAGGTCCGGAAAGCTACAACGCCCGAGACTTGCTGTATATATTTATATAAGCGACAAAATACGTCTTCGACAAAACTTGCATACAGAAGCTAGAAGGGGGTCAAAAGATTTATAGAAAGAGCTATACATTGCATGAAGAAAAGAGATATGACTCAATTTATTTACACTTGTCAAGAAGTCTTGAGTAAGTTGCAATCATCATGTTAAAAGCAATCTAGGCTACTGCAAAATTTAGTTCGAGTGACATTTTGTTGCCAAAACGTATATATTTAGTTGTAAGCGAGTACGTTCTAATAAGTGTAGTCATATTATTTAGATTATTAAAATTATTTACTACTTTACCGTACTCTTTAGCCTTCCATATAAATCAAACTTCATGTAGTTGTAAACAAGGTTAAAATAAACATCGTATCATTTCTATGTGAACAAGTGATGTCCGTAAATGCACATTATTTCCTGACTTTGTTACACTTTCAACAAAAACATAAATCCACAATCGTTATTATATTTTGAATCTCGGTGCAAAACAACATTTGTTGTTTGCATCAAATTACGTCACCAATGGATTTTGACCTTG